TGACTAAAATTAATCACGTACTTTATGCCTCTGAGCCTTTGCACATGTTGTTCCTTCTGCCCATTTTATCTTCTGTTGCTCTCTCCACCTCCCACCCCTTTCTTCAGTCTATTGGATAAATTTTTTTTTCCAAAATGCATTCCAGGCATCATTTTTTCTTAACCTATGCCTAAGAACAGAATGACTTGTTTCCTTATCCCTCCTACTTTTGCACTCTGTACCTATTATTATTTTGGACTCTGTCTCAACTAGCACATTGCAGGCTCATTGAGGGCAGACACCAAACCTCTTTCTCCAGCATCACTTACTACTATGTCCAGCTCAAAAGATATCTATCTCAGCTGATCAACTGAGTAGGCCAGGTGAAGGGAGAAAGGGTATGTCTCCTCTAGGAGTGGAGCATCAGGATCTTTGGTGGGGACAGGGGTTGAAAACCTGACATTAAATATTGTTAATAGGTTTAGGGACATTATCAGAATCTTCATGAGCCATGAGACTTACATGTTTATTGAAAGAGAACTCATTTTGTTTTGTGTTGTTACAAATGAGAGTTGTTTAGTAGGGACACAGATGTATAAGCAAAAATGTCCAAGTTGTATACACAAGATTAAGAACTAGCATAAAGCAAAGGAAGTATTAACTCCTCAGGTGGACATCAGAACAGGTTTCAAAGGAGGAAATGATTGATCTTGATCCTAAGAAAAAACTGTCAAACAAGCTGCCAAGCAGAGGGACCCATCTCACCAAAGCACAGAAATGGTATAACATTATAAATATTACTTTGGGCTTACTCCACTCTCAGACATTGTTCTCTACTCTAAGACATTGTTCTAAGAGCTTTTATATGTATCAGCTCATGAACTCATGTAATATTGCCAAAAATCGTAAGTTTATATAGTATTGTTAGGTTCCACTGCTTCTAACAGAGACTCAAAATAACAGTGGCTTAAATAATAGGGCAGTTTCTCTCTTTCTCCATAAAACCTAAGGGTCCCAGACTCCTTTCACCCAACTACTCAAGAAACTAGCTGTGGCTTCCATCCTCATGGTCCAAGATGTTGTGAGTGGCTAGAGTTCCAGCCCTCACATCAGCATTCCAGACATTAGGAGAGTGGGCACGTAAAAAACTTCATTTTATCCAGGTTTTTAGAAGTCTCCACATACACCTCATTACCCCAAGGTAGTCTTATAACCAGAGTTGTAATACAATACTCTTGGAAATATGGTCTTTTTTTCTGGGCATCACATCCCACCTACAATTTGGGGGTTCTATAACAATGGGAGAATAATGGGAGACAATTAGCAGTTTCTGTCACATCATCATCCCCATTTTTCATATGACAAAACCAATGCAAAGTGTAGTTGCATTATTTTCACGACACATTCAGAGATTTCAAGTAGCTTTTCTTGGCTTATGCATAAAGTGGAAAGAAAGATGGGGCTCTACAAAGCTGTATTTAAATTCAGGTTTAAATTCTGGCACTTCACATGATTAAAAGGATAATGGGCAGTGAAATGCATAACACCCAGGCAGTACTAAAGTGTGTAAGACATAATGTATGATTCATCTCAAAACTACATTATTCAGAGTTGGTTTGTGGATCTGAGAGATGATTTACTAATGGGTCAGTAATTGGATAGTAAATTGATTCAATGACATTGCTGACTACAGTAACAGACTACTTAAAATTTGCCAAAAGGACAAAAATCATCTGACATATTTTTCAGTCCTTTCAATTTTTTTAATGCCTGCCTTTCATCTAAACAATGGTCCAACAAAGGTAAAATAGTTTGCACTTAATGATATTAATTCAAGAATAACAGTGCAGTTATTATCCCAGTTACATTTGATTCAATGTTAAAATGAAAAAATATTTTGAAGTGACATATGCACATAACTGTACTGCAGTACCTGTAGAAGTTACTGTTAATGTTGGCCATTTTCTCAACAACTATTCACAAACCCCAGCCTACTTTTCCTTCCCTTCTCTGATCCACATGCTTCAGAGGAGCATGCCATCTCCAGCCCTAAGAGCAGTCATGATTGGGCCAGTCGGTGGATGGAGAGTGCATTCCTCTTGCTAGTGACTACTTTAGCATGGGCATATAATGAAATCCCAATGACAGTCACTTCTCAAAGGGGTGTGTGTGTGTGTGTTTGTGCATGACCATTAATAAAAAAAGAAACAGTCCTTTTTCTACTGGACACTGCTGACTGTAGTTGTGATCATTGGCTGACTGCTGTAACCTTGTGACCTTGAAGCTGGTAAGATGAAGATTGGCTAAGCAGAAAAATGGAATTTGATTTCTTGCTAAAAACCAACCCTGAAAAGCTTCACCTCCTAGTATGTTCCATTTGTTCCTTATATGGTTAATTTGTAAAGTAGGAAGAATGGTTAATTTGAATTGAGCAGTTATTTGCAGTCCAAGTATTCTGATATGCTGCTACAGGTACGTATTTGTAACAAAAACCAAACAACAAAACAGCAGTCCCGTATCCCTTTCACAACTCAGCTGTTTTGGTGAGTGATTTACTTTCATGCTTCTAAATAATACATTTATACTGCTATCTTCTTGATTTATCCAGAGAAAGAATGTCAACTTTCTATTATAAAAGAGGAAAACTAGGCATCTGCATATACCCCATCCTCTTCCCTTCCTGCTCCCAATAGTTTTACAACTTTGAGTCAATTTTGTGCTTAGATCACCGTAATTACATAAATATTATTCACCAATGGATCAAGTAGTGTACCATGGTTGCATTTCTTTTCCTATACAATTCTTACCTCTTGGAGATAAAAATTACCCCCCACTCCTTTTAATTTGCATGGCTTCCCATGTACCCATTAGTAGTTCTCAAACTCTTTTAACAAGAGTTGTAATATCCTTTCAAAGTGATTTTTTCTTTTCTATGAAAGTTGTCTTCTCTTTCTCTTCCCTCTTTCTAAACCTACTTCCATTCCCTTCTCCCCCCATAGTAGGTAACCAACCACTCTATGGCAATTAATATGTATGTTTGTATGTTCTTACATTCGAAGTTTTGGTATATTTTATATAAATGATTTCCCCCACACACGCCATTTGTTCTTACTGTTTTCACTGGGTGCCATATTTTTGTGACCAAGCCATGTAGCTATGTGTACATCTACAGTTTGCAAATATTGCAGAATACTTATATCGGGTACACCCACTACATTTTTACCTATCCTGTCTCCCAGGAATGGATATCCAGGTTGTCTCCAACTCCATGACATCACAAACAATACCCAATAATGGAGATGTATGAAAAGTATCTTTGAGATATTGTTTCTGCTCTTCTGAATTGCTGTCTACAGTCCCATCACAGTGTATGCTATATACCACATATATATACACACACATATACCTATATATATATACCTATGTATAAATATATACAATATACACCTCTATACCCACATGCCTCCAGTATTTGTATCATTTAATTTCTAACTTTTGTAATTCTAAAAGGTATAAAGTGACTGTGTTTTGTCTTCATTCTCTAAGGAGTTTTACCAACTTTTCAGTTTCCTCTGAAATTTGACCTTTCACATACTTTGCTCAATTTTCCATTGGCATTGTTTACCCTTGATTTGCAGGTTCCTTCTACAATCTACATTTAATCACTTGATTTCAAATATATATTTTCCCATTCTGTCACTTACCTATAGATATTTCATGATCAGAAATGCTTTATTTTGGTATACAATTTTTTTGTCTTAAACTTCATACTTTTGAAGTGTAAGTCACTTGCCACCTGTCACAGAAATTTCTCCCACACGACCTTGTATTTAGTTTTATCATTTAAGGAACCTTTCATTTTCTTCTATATAGTGAGCCACTACCCTCAAAAACATCTAATAAAAAAATTCTCCCATTTCCTTTATGTCACCTTTATAGAACATTAGGTTGCCATATATCCTTGCAGTCTGGGCTCTATTCATTTGCATTGTTCTAAGGCCTTATCAGTTTTTACTACTGTGATTTGTGGAATGTCTTAATATCTGGTACAGAATTAATTCCCTTTTCTAAGTTTAGTTAGTTATTTATGGAGTTTATTTTCCATATACACTTTGAAGTACGTTTGGATTCCTCAAAAAACCCAACTGGAATTTGGTTGAAATTATATTGATTTTCATTTAACTTAGAATGTCCACTTTTATATTATCGTCTCATTGGAAGCACAGAATGTTTCTTAGACCATTTTCCGTCTTCATTAGAATTTTAGTTTCTCCAAGGAAATTTTGTGTATTCTTGGTTAATTCGTTGATACTTTTTAACTTTTGCTACTAGGAAATAATATTTGCATTTTTATGGGCTGACCTTATTCTGGCAACTTTGCTCTCTCTCTTAATATTTCAAATAGCTTGTTAATTGTTGGATTTTCTAGGTTATGTATCATTTGCAAAGTAGTTTTCCTCTTCTCTTGGAATCCTTCAACATTATTGTTCAGTTTTTTCTTTATAGTATTAACCCATGCAACTGTGATAGGCTTCCTCACTGAGTCTTGGTCCTAAAGGGAATGTATGTAATCCAACATTTGTCCATAAATATTAACATTTATTACAGATTTTTGACATATAAACCTTAGCCAAGTTCAAAAAATTATTCTATTGATAGCTTGAGGTTTTTATTTTTCATAAATAGATGTGAAACCTTACCATGTTTTTTTTATATCAGTTAATTATGATGCTTTTCTTTTTGTCCATTACTGTGATAGATTTTTGATGTTGAGTCATCCTGGTATTCTGGAAATAAACCTTACTTGGTCATATATTTTTAAAAAATACACCACAACACTTGGTAAGCTAGTATTTTCAACTGTGAATGTATATTCATAAATGGACCTCACTTTATTCTTCACTTCCGTCTGGTTTTGTTATCAACATTACATTAGCTTTAAATCCCACTGTGTCTACTACTGAGATTGCCACCCCGGCTTTTTGGTTTCTTTTTGTCTGGTGTACACACATACACACACACACAGGTAATAGCTTTATTCAGATAAAATTCACTACAATTATCTACTTGAAATGTACAATTCAGTCGTTTTTAGTATATTCAGAATTGTACAACCATAATCACCATCAATTTCAGAATATTTTCATCACCCTCAAAGAAATCTCATACCCTTTAGTGATCATCCACCAAACCTCCCATATTCCCCCTAACATCCCAGTCCTAGGCAACCATTAATATATATTCTTTCTTTATAGATTTTGTATATTTGATGTAAATGAAACCATATAATAATGTGGTCTTTGTGGCTATTTACACTTAGCATATTTTCAAGATTCATCTAAATTGTAGTATGTATATGTCTGAATGATACATTGTATTACATGAAAATAGCATAATGTACCCATTCATCAACTGAGACATTCAGACTGGTAACACCTTCTGGTTATTATGAATAATGCTGTTATGAACATATATGTACAAGTTTTGTATGGACTTATGTTTTCAGTTCTCTTCAGGATATACCTATAAGTGGAACTGTTGGGTCAAATGGCAACTGTTTAAATGTTTGAGTTGCTAGACTGCAGCAATACCATTTTACATTCCTAGTAGCAGGATATTTACCTCCGTACCAATACTTCTTTTATTATAGCCATCCTATTGGTATTTCATTGTGGTTTTGATTTGCATTTCCCTGATGACTAATGATGTTAAGCATCTTGTTTTGTGTGTTTATTGACCATTTGTTTATCTTGTTTGGAGAAATGTCTATTCAGATCCTCTGACCATTTAAAAAATTGGGTTAATTGCCTTTTACTATTGAGTGGTAAGTTTTTCCCCCTTTAAAAAGAAAAAAGGTTTGGGATACAAGTTCTTATCTGATACATTATTTGCAAATATTTACTCCCACTTTGTAGGTTTGTATACACCTTTCCTCACTCTTATTTTTTAACCTGTCTTTTTAGTTAATCTTATTTACTTTTAAATCTTAAAACTTTTATTTTTAAATAATTTTCAATGAGTGTTTTAACTGATGAGTTTTAATTCACTTATACCACTTTCCACATTGTTGAATGCATGGGGTAACATATCTGCTCATTTGTCTACTTGGACATCTCCCTCCTAGTATCTCTTGCCCTCTTGTTCCAGTCTGGACTGAATACTGTGAGCCTGCTAACAAGCTGTTGCCCTGCTACTATGCTGGGTTGGTGCCCTGATTTCTGGTATCTTCTGTCTTCCTTGATTCACTTCCTTATTTTTTGTGGAGTACATCATATAGGATCCTTTTAAAAAGTGACATAAAATGTTTTAAATTTTGTACATCTGAAAATGTTTTTACCTTCATATACGAGGGCAGTTTGACCAGTCATATAATTGTAGCTTGGGAAAGGAACTGTCTCCTGAAATGCAAATCTTTTATTTCCTGGGCTCACCAATGTGTTTGGTTACCAATAGATATTGTTAGATATTTGGTTCCTGAGTTTCAGAGAGCAAGTAGGAAATGTTCACTTAGCAAGGGACATCTCAAAAAGATTTATTGTTATCTATTTGCTTCATGAGTTTGGAGAGCATTAAGTTCAGATCCCAGGAATTTGTCCTTAGAAATGTAAAGACATCAATCCACCATTTTTTGTCACTAAGATTTGCTAAAGAGGAGTCTCATGTAGATGTTACTCTTGTTCCTAAATGACTGTTTTTTTTTCCCCATTTTGGAAACTTCTAAGATCTTCTCTTTATTCTTGGGAGTTTGAAACTTGAAACTTCACAGTGCTATGCCTTGGCCTGGGTCTTTGTCCTGCTTATACTTGACACTATGGGCCTTTCAATCTGAAGACTGAAGTTCTGGGATACCCTCTTTTGTTATTTCATTTTAATAATCTCTCTCCTCCTCCTTTAAAAGTTTTATTTCACTTCTTAAAACTGTTACATCTGATATTAGACTCCTTTATATATCTTCTGTGGCTTTTACCTTTTCTCACTTCCTGAGTTCTACTTTCAGAGCTATTTCCTCACCTGCACCTTCCAAATCTATTAATTACTTCTGAATTTTAAATCTTTTTAAAAGCTGTTTTGATAACTCCATTTCATTTCCTGATACGTTTTAAATGCAAGTATTTTTAACCAGCTTTTCCACTTATAACATAGTCAGCATTATTTCATATCCTAAGTATCTTTCTTGAAACACAGTTTCTCATTTTTACTTAAAGTGCTCCATCAATAGATCCAAACTGGCCAAAGATTTTAAGCAGTATGAGGCATTTTCAAGCTGTTTTTTGATGTTCAGCCTAGAAGTGGTGGGAAGAATGAACTGGAGCAGATTGGAGAGGTTCTGTAATCTAGGGGAGAAATGATGAAAGTCTTATCTAAGGCAGTAGTCCTGGGATAAAGGCAAAAAGAATAGCTGATAGATTTTAGGAGGTGGAATAGTATAGGAGTTGGTGATTATCTCGTTAGGAAAAAGGGTAAAAGTCCACAACTACCCTCAGGTTTTTTGTTTTGACAACAGCAAGAATAGCTGAATTTCTCCAAGTATGAATTACATTATTTTGAACATGTTTAATGTGACTTACCTATAGTTTAGTCTCAAGTGAGTTTAGCTAGATCATAGCTAAATGTAAGTTGCATTGTTTTATAGAAAAATAAAAATGTCTCCCACTGTCACAGTCTGAGACAAGTCATTATCAATATTTAAAGAGAAATTTTGAAAGCTCTAAAGTAACATTTGTATTTTTCAAGACAATATTTCTAATTCAGAAGATATTTTCAGTTCTAATTAAATAAAAGATTCCAAACTTTTAGAGAGATCAACTTTTTAAGTAAGAGTCTTTGGAGAAATATTTTAAAAGGATGAAAAAATCAGCAGTAAACAAAACTTCATGTTTCACATTATGGATGAAACGCCATGGGAGAAAATTTTATCACAATATTAGAATATTTTGAAATAAAAAATCACTCCACTATTATATTTTCTTTTTTTAATATTTGAGTCTCCAAATGAAATTTCCAAGACCATTTCCTTTTCATCAGTGAAACACCTGTTTACTGCTTAACCACCAGTATTACAGATGCAAATATTTACTAAATATATTTTTCTTAAGTAGATGCAAATAATTTTATTTCTAAAAAGTTTAATTCTATTTAGACTCATTATCTTTATATTTAAAAGTAATCTATGGATGAAGCAACAGGAGTTCCTCAAATGAAGAAAACTGTCTGATTTGGTTTTATAAATAGTGAAGATGATTTAACATGTAAAAAACTGAGCTTAAAAAACATGGCTCAAACCACCTGCTTCTTTAAGTCACACCAGCCATCTACTTCTAAAAAGTCCTTATCAAAGCTATTTCTTTAAACCCAACATTAACTAACTCAACAGATGGGTTTTAAAAGTGAGGAATATAATTTTACTTTCAACTCACTGATTATATACTCAACTGGCAGTTTAAAAAAAAATAATTTTAGAATACATGAAGACCTGAATTAAACCATTCTCAACAATTTCCCCTGGATCATATGCTAATTGGCTTGTTTTTACCTATAAGCTTTAAACATGTCTACCACAGGTAGCACCCCAAAATAATTATTTTTAACTGTAAAACCTATCGAGTAAACTCCAATGTAATTTCACTGCTTTTTCCTTTTCTTGTAAGAATCATTACCATGAACTCGAACTCGCTGGTATACAGAGGATGCTATTTTCATGCTGCCTTTCTTTGTAAGTGTCTTCTCCACTGCTCCAGGTTTCCACAGTAACAACTGTTCATCTTCTCCACCGGTTAGCAAAGACTCATCCTGCACATTCCAACAGAAAGAACGGACGGTTGCGGAATGCCCTCCCTGGAGACTGCACATGTAGACCAGGCCTGTTGCACTACAGCTCAGCAAGTGAATGACTCCTGTTTTTGTCCCTCCAACTATAAACAGTCTGTCCATCTTCTCATGATACAGACCGCCAATCAAATAGTCTAATGTACCTTCTTTCATATTAATTTCTTCTCTGACATTCTGGATGTTTAAACATGTAATTGGTTCATCAGTATCTAGATGATTAAGATCCCACCAACAAAATCCTTCATCATGTGTCATGCAGTAAATCTGTTTATAATCTTTCCCAGACCAACCAATATGGCTTACTGAGGAAACAGAGTTACAAGTTGTGACCAGTGCATCTTCTTCATTATCAACACTAATATCAAATACATTTACCAGGCCATCAGTTGAACCTGAGACTACCATGTTGGGATTGCTGGGATGGAAACATACTTGAGTGATATCATCACTATGTGTCTCTGAATATGCACCAAGTGGATCTTTAGTAGCAGACAAATCCTGAGAATTAATTCTTGCATCCCAAAATACCAACAATGCATCATCATCAACTTTTTCTGTGCCAGCGCAAATGACATGATCATCACAGTTGATATCAAAACTGATAAAAATATTGGAAGGGTAACCTTTGAACAGTTGGACAGGTTTTTCACTGGCTAATCGAGCATCCCAACATTTTACGGTGCCATCAGTACAAGATGAATATACACTGTCATGAGAATTTGCAAATTTGACTCCATTAAGAATTCCAGGATATCCACTAAATTCTCGTAGTATGTTTAATGTTTCTTTATCATATATTCTGATGGATCCATTAGAACATAAAACAGCAGCCAAGCTGCCTTTTTCTGCTTGAACTGTCTTTGATGTGTCTATGCCAAGCAGATATGTAGGCTCTTTAGTTCTCAAGGAACGTTTAACAATGTTCAGATTAGCAAACTGTTCCTCAATCTTCTCCATATTAGAAGTGGCATCCAAGGGTAGTAAAAATCTGTAATGAAAAAAAAATTAAGATTAACCACAAAGCTTCTTTAAAATTGTAATTAAATCAAGAATATTTCCCTCTGAGGGCTGGCACAATAGAAATAAAATCTATTCTAATATTGTTTTGTTTTTTATTGAAGTATTATCTATATACATTATTGTGTTGGTTTCATGTGTACAACAGTGATCTGACAATTACATACATTACTAAATGCTCACCATAAGTAGTTATCTGTTACCATATAAAGATACTACAATATTATTGACTACCT